ATCTACTCGAGTAGGAAAAGGCAAACTTTTGCTATTATTCAAAGAACAACTAATACAAGATTTATTATAAAATTTAAAGTAAGTTTTTTATTAGGGAACAAGAGCAAAATAAAATAGCTAATTTATTTGCATTTGGATGACCATGACTCTAATGTCACACATGCCATTGTTTTGTTTAAAACGTAAAAATCAGAAGCCGAAAGAGAAAAAGAAGAAGCATCACGACTTGGTTTCTCAAACTCCAACATTAATCAATATCTTGACACACAAATATTAGATTAACATTTAATTTAGGAACTAAGAGAACATTAGGTAAACAAAAAGGTGAACCAAGGAAGGACATAGAGTGAGAGATTATCAGTACCAGTAATATCCAGTTTCTTCCCATTAGCTATGAGAATACGACTATTACTTTAGTATGAGTTAGTAGATGATGGATTTTTGTTCACTCCAGTCATATGATTAGAGGCACCTGAGTTAATAAACCAAAGAGGATTCACAATAGGGGGGTAGGTAAGACTCCTTACCAGATAAGCCCATAGCAGAGAAAACAGAAGAGATAATGGTAGATATAGAGCTTTGTACCAATTGCCGAATATCATCTGACACAACTGTTGTCTTGGACCCTGTCGTCTTAGAGAGATCATTGACCTAGTATCTATCCTTAATCTCTTTGATGCATCATTAACAACTTAGTATGCCATGTAAAAGGTTTATATATGTAATGCCAGGTTGTTTCGTTGAGGACGGTAGCGACACCCCGTGATAACATGTCCAAGACATTTACGATAATTACAAATATTTTTCTTTTTACAATAGGATGCTATATGATCATAATATTTACATTCATAACATCGCCACAAAGATAGGTCCTTTCGTGATAGCTTTCATTTGCCTGCTGGGCCACATAGACATATTTGATATCCTTCTTTCCCTCAACGGTGGCTTGTGTTGTAATTCTAGACTCCTCACGAAGTAACTCACCTAGAATGGCATCCATGTTAGGAATGTTTCATGCAAACTAATGGCTTGAATGATCTCATATTCTGGGTGTAATTTCATCAGAAAATGTATCACTTTCATCTCATTATTTATTTCCTTTGAGTTTTTAATTGAACAAGCACTGGTGATAGCCTTCATACTCATAGATTTAAATTTTTGTCCAAAAGTTCATAAAATCAGCATAATACTCCTAGCTATTTTTTCTCCCATATCCAATGGTAAACATATCATACTCAGTTTGGAATCACCTTACAAGATTTGATTCTTAATGAACCTTTTTTAGATATTCCTACATTTCATTCGCAGTGCGAAACCCTCACATTGGCCTTCCAATGTCTATATCCACAGAGCCGAGGATTCATGAGACAATTTTTGTATTGCTAAACTTCCATTATTGGGTTTTCTTAATGCTGGATGGAGTAAGTTATGGTTCAGTTCCATCAATATAACGCCACAAACCCTCTTCTTCAACAAGAAACTGAAAATGAAGATGCCAATCATAATAGTTTTTCCCATCGAGTTACATAGCCAACACATCTCCTCTTTCAAAAGAAATGCATAAATGTTGTTGAGCACCCTCACTCTTTGACAAAAAAGATACTTCTAAGATCAAAACATAGAGTTGATAACTACTAGGTGATATTGCTTCCATCCATTGTAAAAACAACTCAAATTTTAGAAACTGTGGTAGTTTTCCGGCTGAAAAAAAAAAAAAAACCTTTTGCAGGAAGACAAAGAAAGGCAAACAAAGAGAAGTACTCAAGAAAACAATAGGAACAAAGAATTGTTTTGTTTGTTTTGTCCAGTATGTTTTTTATAGAAATCAAGAAACTTGATACATTAGTCTCAGGGATACATCTTAGGGTCCAAAACTAGTTTGTGGTCTTGAGGTTTACACAAGGGTGGACAAACGTTTTGACTACTAAATGCAAAGTGGAGGTGACAAAATAGGTTGCTGTTTGCAAGGGGTTTGGCTTGCAAAAAGGGGGTTTGGTTTGCAAGAGAGAGAAGAAAGATAGGGAGAGGATGAGGGTTTTGGCTTGCAAAAAGGGTTTGCAATTGTTCTTTGCAAAAGATTTGAATGGCGCATTTACATGAACAATGAATTTTATATGGAACGAGGTTGCCAACGGTAAACTAAAGGGAACTAAAATGAGAGAGAAAGTCACGGGTTTTACCAAACCGAGGGTAGGAAGATGCCAACAATGTCTATCGAGCAGGAGAAGAGCAGAGTGAAGACCGTGAAATAAATTTGGTGGTCCTCAGAAAACAATGCAGCAATCATTAAGAAGGAACTGTGATCTTATAGAAAAAGGTGACCGGAGCTGATGATTGGTCGCAAGCGATAACTGACACAGGTTATTAGTAATCGAGGCTTGGAGCGTAAAAAATGTGAGAAGTTTCAACGTCCTTGCATTGATACCATGTCAAAGATACGAAGAGGCAAAAGAGAAACATATATATCCATTCACTAATATCAACATATATACATCCAGGGGTAACGTACACAACAAGTTAACTTGCACAATAAGATAGAATATAATAAGTAATATAAATGGAAAAAGTTTATATAAAGTTGTAACTTTAAATGTAGAATTACAGATGCACCTAAAAAATCTATTGAAAAATGTTGTTTTAACGTTGAAAAAATATCTAATGGATCATCTTGACATCGAGACGTATGAACATGAAAGAAAAAAAGATTTTGAGTCCCATAAATAATGCATCTTGATACGTTATCTAGACCGTCCATTTTCAAGATTTTAATATGTTTATAGATCTGCTTGATTGTAACCATATTTGGAGTTCAAAATTTTATAATTAGATATGAAAATAGATTTCGAGATAATCCTAAGAATTTTTTCACCAAAATTACATGTTATGGTAAAATTTGGAGGCACGCCTTAATTGGATTGTTTAAGGTTGCAACCTTATAGAAGCCACACCTTATACATATTAAAGGAAAATAGTTGGATAGGGCTGCAGCCCTATCAAAGTAAATAAAGCCTCAACTCATATGTCATCCAAAATTACAACTCAAGCATTAGAAAATCTTTACATTGTTCATCTCGACTTGAGCATTATGGTTATGAAAAAAAATTAGGATTTCAATATCTAAAAATAATGTATATTTGACAAATTATTTAGATCATCCATTTCACCCTAAAAATAAGTGTTTACAAATCCACAAGATCTGTGCCATTTTCTTAATTTCTAATTCTATTTTTGGTGTTGGAAATTAGTTTTAGTGCCATCATGGATATTGTTTTTGCCAAAAGTGCTTTTTGAACAAGGATTTTAGGTGAGGCTTTATTTTGTTTTCATAAAACTTAGGCCTCATAGAAACCTCATCCCATATTAAGTATTGCACTTTCTATACTGCCCTATTGCCCTATGATATAATACACAAAGTATTTACAAGATTTTCAGAGATCTCTAAAGTAAGGGTTGAGGAACAATTACCTAAGAAAAAGTCTTATTTTTCTCTAAACCAGGAACAAGGTTGCAGCAGAGATGTAATTTGGTTACCTTGAAGATACACGTGTCTAGGAATTGCGGGTGAGGTTCGAATATTGATTTTGCTTACTTATATTGCTTGGAGCAAGTAAGCCCTCCCTGTCTTGATAAGTGTGATTAAATTTCACATATTTTAGTGTTTTTTTTATTTTGTTCCTTCGGTGCATACAAAGATGACAATTTGGATTGAACAGTGTTTCTTATTCAGTTCTTGTTTATTGCAATCCAATACAGTTCTTTATTTTAACAGCAATCCTATACTTAAGATTGTTGTCATTATTTGTTAAGGGTGTGGTTTGTATAGAGCCTAGCCTCTAAACAATTAAAATAGAGCCTACCTTCAAATAGTATTGAGAAATGTGGTTTCAATACTAGAAATCTTTGTGATACTCTTAAAATATATGTTCATATCTATTTATAAAGTTTAAAACTTTAAAAATAGTTTAGATCGACAGATCTAGGAAAACTTGAAAGTTTTGAAAATTGACGGTCCAAAAATGCGTTACAAAATACACTATTTCCAAAACTTGAAATGTATATTTTTTTTTCATGTTTATGCATACTGATGTCGAGATGATCAATTTGAAGATATTTGGGCATCAAAACGACCTCTTCTGGAGAAAATTTTGAGGTAGACTCAAATTTGATTGTTTAAAGCCTCGGCTTTATATAAACTTTTTCCATTATTGTATTCAGTATTGTTGTTGTTCTTTCAAAGTATGTTCCCTATAAAACCATTGTATGTTTTGTACCAGTGAAGGAAGCATGCTATGTTGCGTGTAAAGAAAATTTAGACGAAAAATTGGGGAAGTAGGGCCCTAATTACTACTAATTACATAGTTTGATGACTTTATTACATCCTTACAATAAAATCATTTGCATTAATGCTCTGTGGCAAATTTTAATTTATTTAAAGCCATGTTTAGATATCTAATTTTTTCACTCCATTATTCAAGTCAAATATGAAATATTTGTAATTTTCTAACTGACCTAAGTTTTAGTGTTTAGTATTTTTGCCCCCATATTTGGCCTCATACTTTTTGGATGAAAACAAATTTTTTTTTTTTTGGGTAATTATCAAAGCCAAATAAGTATAGGCTTTGTTAGTTTACCACCCATTCACAAGTTCACTATTAATGTTGACGACTGCATTTCTTCGTGCAGGCAAACACTCACAACTGGTGGATCCTATCCATGAAAGTGGTTATTTCCAAGGGACCCATGCCGTGTTTGCAAAATCAAATCGGAATGGTTAACCGGACATGGGTCTGGAAGTGGTTTAACCGGCCAAATCGGCAAACCGCAGTTGTCACAATTTTAATGCTCAAGCCGCTTGACCAGATCCCTCTTACCATTGTTCTGAATTTAGAACAGGGAAACGTTTTTTAGATATTGTTAACAATTTTGAGTTCTCCATGTTTTATACTCTGTTTTCACTGATTAAAATCATTCCACAATAAGAGTAGGATGCTTGTGAAACCTTGAGAAGAACAAACTAATATTTATTTGGATAGACTGAAGTATGACAAGTGAAACTCTTAGATGAGCATAGCAATCTTATAATTCCGATCTTCTAATATCACCATAAGTTCTGCTTAGTCCTCACCAACGTCAAGGTCATCTTTTTGCATATATCCCAAGGTAAATGTATGACCATGCACCCGTATAAAGCCATCGTTCAAAGCTTTGAGGTAGTCAGGCCTGCATTGTCAGTGAACATGTAAAATTAACTATAATAACATCTATGGAATCATGGAGATTTCTTCCATTCAGATTTGAGATACCTAGCTGTTTCCCATTCACTATGCTTGGACAAGCAGTTGGAGGTTGAGAATTTTCATCTAAGAAAGGTGCTACTCGATTTGGATCAGACCACAAGGGGTAGCCCTTGATCTTCCCCTGCAAAAAGAGTTAAACATAACATATTTCCTATTTATTAGTCACAAGACTAAATTTCAATGAACTCAAGAATTTCCCTTAAAGAGTTCCTTTTTGCAAGCATACCAGGACATTAAGAGCAGCAAGGGTAGCCATTCCCTCTCGAGTCCACTGCATAAATAGTGCATAAATTGTAAATGAATTAGCATTCAGAGTCATAATAATCACAAGGACTCCCCTGCATTTGAAGCTCTGAGTTTTTTGCATAGGGCAAGAATTTGTCAACTTTGATACCTTTGAAGCAGAAGCAATATGAGGGACAATGACTGTGTTCTTCTGCTCTGCTAGACCAGGTTTCATGAAGGGCTCTTCCTGTTGCATCAACATATGAATATATTGGGGTGTCATCATTTCCTACCATTATTGGTATGAATGGGCCAATTCTATTCAAAGTCAAACGAAATTGAAGGAATAGGACCTCAAAGACATCTAGTCCAACGCGAAACATGGGATTTGCCTTCAAATGCTCAACAAGTGCTGCCTCATCTATCACGGGACCCCTACTTGCATTAACAAGGATTGCTTCCTACGATCAAAGACACTACTCGTGATCAAAGAAACCATATCTACTTATAGACTTCTTATATAGTTCAGGCAGAAAAAAAAATCAAAAGATCTCATCGATGCCTTGCTCACCTTTTTCATGATGGACAGACTATCTTTATTGATAAGATGGTGGGTGGTTTTATCCAAAATGGGATGAAGGCTTATCTGCAAGACAAGCAGGTCCAAGGGATCATACTCACAACTATTATTCTGAAGGTGCTCTCTTCAAAAGCAAAGCCGCAGTATTATACTAGGCATCATTTAACTAAAAAGGTCAGTTAGTGAATTATGACAAACAGCAAATAGGTATCTTGAATCGTGCTTACAACGGTTTATACATGAGTTAGATACTTGTACCTAAGTCACAGGGTTGCAGAGATAATTCAGAGTGGGCTTTAGTCATTTTCTAGTGTAAATTATACCCACTATAGTTATACCATGTATGTTACTTTATGAAATAGTGATTCTATGCTTAATTGGCCACTCACCACATCAGCCTCTCTAAGCACATCATGCATTGTTGCAGCTCTCTTCCATGTCACAAGTTGCTCCCCAATTGATTGCAAAAACTGCCCATAGTCTATGCAAAGAAGCGAAATAAACATTCAAATACACAAACAAGCAAATGCAATCTGCTAAAAGATGAGAGATTATGGGGAAAACCGACCTGTTACAAATTTCTCTAGTCGGGTTGCCTGATAGAGATCGTAGTATATAAGATTCATCTTAAAGCCTTCAATCTGAGACAACATTTCTACAAATGTTATAAGCTAGTGATAGTCCAGAAACAAACTCAAACCTGCCTAAAATTATGCTGCTCGCCATTCGGTGCAAACTACAGAGCACCAAACAAAAGTCACAACCGCAACCGAAATGCAGCAGAGGTCTCTTTACCGCAACCATCTCAATTCATGAAAACATATGTCAAAATAGAAAGCTCACCATCATACGTGCGTATGCTGACCCTATCCTTCCCGCTCCAATCACCCCAACAGTCTGTCCCTTGAGCAGATTCCCCACAAACCTGCAGCAAAAAACTCTGAATTTTTAACAACGATTTCCAATTCAGGAAAACAGAAGCCATGAAGCTTTTTAAGAAATTAGGATAACTTACAAATGTGGCAGCCATCCATCATAGAGACCCGCCCTCATAAACATGTCGGCTTCTACAACTCTCCGTGCAGCTGCAAGTGAAAGAGCAGCCGCCAATTCTGCGGTGGTCTCCGTTAAAACACCCTGCAAAATAAAACAAAACCAAGCGAAATGCATATGAAAAGAGCATTATCAATTGAAATCAAAGAAAGACCCAAACAATATAAACTTTTAGTTAAGTTAGAGAGTTGTGAGAATAGAATCCATGCTAAGTTCTGTTGAGTTGTTAGAGAGAAATAGAGGTTGATTACTCACAGGAGTGTTGCCCACTGCAACTCCATATTTTGTAGCAGCCTTCACGTCAACGTTGTTGAAGCCTACCGCCATGTTACTGAACGCACTTCCACCTGCTCTGCTGAGTGCAGAGAACAGTGTCTCCCCCCAGTCTTCGGTCAACTGTAATCACAAAAAACCAACTAAATAAGCGTAAGACATCTTGAGAAGTCGACATACACCAGTCCTGTACCACAGTTTTTTTTTTGAACCAACAGTCCTGTACTACAGTTAGTCTCCATCTTCCACCATCCATAATCGACAGTGGATCACCAGGTAACTGGTGTGTCGAATGATGATGAAAAGAATTTGCAAATAGGAAAGGGAGTCCAGTTTTGCTTTCCTGTCCGATGACTCCATCGCACTTGTCGCCTATGAGAGCGAGTATGTCATCCACAGATAAAATGGTTTTCTTCTCAGTGCAAATCTGCAGAAAGACCATCAATTTTTTATCAGAGAGAGATAGCGATAGAGATAGAGATAGAGAGAGAGTAATACCTCGAGCCTGCAATCATGGTCTGTTAAGAGGCGGATCCATCTGGAGCCTGGCATGGGCTTGGTGCTAACTACTCTGTACTTCCCTCTGGGATTCCATATTTGGATTGAAATTGGTTTCGCCATGGCAGGAACCAAAATTGATTGAATCAAGTTCCAAGTATTAGGCAAGAGAGGGAGATGAATGCGCTTTGTTTAGTTGGAGGTTATTCGTTATTTGGGTTTTCGTGAATCATCCACGATAATTCGGAAAATTATCAGATAAAGGGCAAGAACATGTTTGGGCCTCTAGTTCAAGATGATGGAGCCGGAGAAGACAATGACCAATAAAGCTCCCTTTCACCCAACATATTCACCTTGGATCGGTAGGTCACATTGGATGTGAAATCGATCGGAATCAATAATCCAAAAAAATACTATATATATATATAAAATGATCCTCTAGGACCCTTCCTCACCCAATTGTATAGGACCTCTATTAATAGCCGTTGGATTTGTATGCAAATCTCGAGAAGAAGTTGGAGGCTGACCGTCAAACCGTCTTCCCACCAAGTTGCCGTTGATCATCCTCTGCATCTCTCTCTCTAAAGTACTCCTTTCAAAAAAAACTTGCACTTTCGCTCGCCTTTGTGAAACTCCCTGTAGCAACTTGCTCTCTCCCGCTATCCTCTGTGAAAGAGAAGATAAATGCCCCAAACCTGTTGCCCCAAACCCTAGCAGGATTACTCTCACTATCTAAATTACTCTTTTACTCAAGGCAAAGAAAGGCAGCCCATTCTCTTCTCTGCGGAACTCTCTGCCCCAAGCCTTAGGAGAACGCAATGCAATTCAACAAGCGTGCAAGGCCCAGCTACGACACTCGTTAGAAAAGCTGCAAAATCTCTTCTTCATTTCATCTTCACAGAGGTAAGGGGAAGTTTTCCCTATGAACCAAAGAGCCCCCATTGTTCTTTTCACTAAAAAATCATGAGTTATCTCTTCCTTTCTTGAACTTATCTGAGAGAAAAGTTTGGGTTTTAAGTTATAATGGAGCTCTGTTAAGGCAGACTATGCACTTACAGTCTCAATTATCTAGAAACAAAGAGAAATTATGATTACCCATCATCTCTGAGAGGCTTGAGCTTCATTATAGGAGGAGAACTTCACAATGGCAAGGTTTTATCTTTGAAATTTCGTGTTTCCTTTGATATACTTACTGCAAAATCTCTTCTTCATTTCATCTTCACAAAGCCTGTTCTCTTCTTTGTGGAACTCTCTACCCCAAGCCCTAGCAGAGTTAAGATAGCTACAGAGGCCATTTTATCTCATGCTAAAGTGGAAGATCTTGGTCTCTTTATTTCAGATTGGGGGCTTGATCCAGTGCTTTTTTTTGAAATCACAAGGTTTGTATGTTATCTCTCTAGCAATAATTGGGTTTTTTTCATTTGGGTTCTCTCTCTACCTGAATCTTTTTTTTTCAAATGAATCAATACAAGAGATGGAGTTCATTTGCTTGATTGAGGTGGGAGATTTGGGAGATCGATTCATTGCCATTGGGTTTTTTTTTTCATTTGGTTTTTCTCTTGCTATCTCTTTCTTTTTACTTAAGTTGAAGTCAGGCCTGTGACATTTGATAAAATTATTCGGTGATGACGTTTGTGCTTATGACAATCTATCATTGGGGGCATTTCTCAGATTATTATTGGTTTTCTCATTTACTATATGATGCATCCCACATCACAATATATCAAACTTTGTTCTCTACATTTCTGAACTGTTAGGGCAATTTTCAGATTCCTTAATCAAGGGATTGTCTGATGACTCTGATCCTTAAGTTGCAGAGTTGGAATTTTTGATTCTACACTTTTTCAATGATTTTAACATTTTCTTGTATTTAGGTTCTCAATTCTATATATTATCCTGGCCTAAAGAACTTGTCTGAAGAGAAAGAGGAAGGGCTTTTAACTTTTTATTCTCTTGAAATTTTCCTTGAGTTTTGTAAATTATTTAATTGTTCTCTCTCTACATTGATCTTGTCAAGGGTTTACTATTCTTTTACTTTGATAAATTAATAGCAGTGTTGGATTATTAGTATTGATTTGCTTTGGTAGTTTGGCATTATGCAAATAATTGTGCTATTGCTAAATTGAAGCAAATGATGGACAATTGATTATTTACTTGAATTTTTCCATGAGCCTTATTGATTATTTCCTCTCTCTATTAGATTATTCACACATGATGGGTCATTGCTATTTCTTTGACTTTTGAATTTGAGAAATTGAGTCACTGATGAGCTAATTACTATTTAGCTCAACGCTTTTGCTGCAAATTTTTTGATGCAAATTTTCGGTTTCTTGCCAATTTAATTTTGAAAATTTTGTTTGAAAATTTATTGTAAAGTGTATGATTTGTAACTTTGTATTGTTTTGTATGAATCCCCAATTGATTTCCTAACTGGCCATGTATTGTGTACTTTAATCCAAAAAAAAAGTGTATAATGCACATGCTAATGCTTCTTTTCTATTTATCCTCTCGTTGGCAATGCTTTTTACTTTATAACATGATGGAACAATCTGCTCTTTTTGTTTTTTCTCTTAAATTAGACTGTAATTGCATTGTTTAAGATTTCTTTATTCTCAATTTTAGCTCTCTTTTTTATCTAATGACATGTATTAATTACTTTCATAGAACCCATGTCGTCCATACCCTTTGATATTGAATTTTTTTCCTTTTCTATATCGAACCTATTATTATTGTGGTGGTATAGAATATGACACATGATAAGTCATTTTTGTCATTCTCAATCCATGCTGCTGAGCCAGAAAGAGACACCAAAAAGTTATAAGCTTTCTTCATTACCATGGAGGCAACCATTGATGATTATTCCTTATGGTATGGTGCCAATGCGAAAGAAATCGATAGTTCTATTAAGGTAATGAGTGCTTCAGAAATGGCTAGTTTTTTTGTTCAAGTTGAAATCTGACCAATCCTTTTTTGCTTGTGTTGAAGTCTAACCAATCATTTGAATGCAACAGACGCCTGTGAAAAGTGTACATGAACTAGTGGAATCACATGCAAAAGGGAGCAATAATGATGGTTCTAAGGAGTTGGTGTTATAAACACTTGCAGTGAGGAAGATGAAAATGAAAGATTGGAAAGCTATCAAAATGAAGGAAATATTGCTTGTGAACCATTTGTGGGTATGGAATTTTCATCTGAGGAAGAAGCAAAATTATTCTATAATGAATATGCGAGGCGAATGGGATTTAGCATGCGTATGGGAAATATAAAAAAAACACAACATGAAGGGGTCGTGGGCTCTAGTAAATTTCTATGTTCAAGAGAAGGATTTCTTTCAAGGAAAGTTGATAGTAGAAAACCTACTCGGAAGGTACCACAAACAAGAGTTAGTTGCAAAGCAATGATGAAAATATGTAAGTAAGGTATTAACAAGTGGGTTGTTACACGGTTCGATATAGACCACAATCATGTATTTGTGAGCCCAAGTAAGGTGCATTGTCTGCGATCGCATCGGGCTGTTTCTGAATGTAAGAGAAATATTATTGATACTTTTCATAAAGCCAAGATTCCTACTAATAAGATTATGAATGTCTTTAGAGTAGAATCTGGTGGAGACTATAATTTAGGCCTAATGCAATGTGATTGAGAAATGAACTTAGAAAGTTTTAAAAGAAAAGCCTTGACAATGATGCTCAATTGCTCTTAAATTATTTAAAGCGCATGTAAAGTGAAAATCCTTCATTCTTTTATGCAATTGATCTAACTGATGATGTCCATTTAGCAAATATTTTTTGGACTGATGCTAGGTCAAGGAGTGCATATCAATGTTTTGTGGATTTGTGGTGATTTTTGATACAACCTATAAGACAAATAGGTTTAAAATGCCTTTTGCCCCATTTACGGGATTCAATCACCATACAAGTTCTACTTTATTTGGTTGTGCACTTTTGGGAGATGAAACCGAATCGTCATTTATTTGGCTATTTGAGATACGGCTTTCAGCAATGAATGGTAAACATCCAATTACAATAATCACTGACCAAGACAAGGCCATGCAAGGAGCTATTGCTTGTGTATTCCCAAACAGTGTCCACAGATTTTGCAAATGGCACATCTTAAAAAAGGTCAACGAGAAGTTGGGTAGCATTTACGCAAAACCTTCTACTTTTGTTAAGGAGTTCCTTAATTGTATTAATTGGATAGAAACAATTGAAGAGTTCGAGAGTTCATAGAGATTAATTATTGATAAGTATGAGCTAAAGGAAAATAATTGGTTAGCATCGTTATATGATATTCGACAAAAATGGATACCAGTCTATTTGTGTGGTACATTCTTTGCAAATTGCTTTACTACCCAACGAAGTGAAAGTATGAACCATTTTTTTACTTTTTAACTCTCAAACTACCCTACAAGAATTTGTTCTTAAATATGAAGAGGCCTTTGATCGCTCGTACAATGATGAATCCTATTTAGATGATATCACGTCTTACTCTACACCAACTTTGAACACAAGACTACCTATGGAGAAACAAGCAGCAGATGTTTATACTAGGACAGTGTTCCTTAAGTGTCAAAAGGAATTAGATGAAGTGATATCAATTATGGTAAAGAAAATTGAGGAGGATGGCTTAATCAACACATACAAGTTGACAACATAGGAAAAAAAAATAAAGAATATATAGTTGTATTTGATGCCTCAAAATCGAAGCAACTTGTAGTTGTAAAACATTTGAGTTTTCTGGGTTTCTTTGTAAACATATATTATCAGTTTTCCATCATGAGCATGTTCAAGAAATTCCATCTCAATACATTTTGAAGCGATGGATAAGGAATGCCAAGAAAGGGACTTTATTAAACGAGCATAGAAAAGGAGCGATACGAAATTCCATGGATTCTCTATTCTCACGATTCAACTATTTAAGTCGTGAAGCAATTAACCTTGCAGAGATTGGGGCGAAATCTGCACGTCTTTTTGATATGGTATTGTTAGGATTTCAAGAATTGAGGCAAAGAGCTATCAATGAGGAAAGTATTGAAAATGCATCACAAGTTTGCCCTAACTTCAGAATAGCTATGACAACAAGTAAAATAAATCAAGATTGTTTAGCAAGTAATGTTATATTACAAAATCCATTACTGACAATAACAAAGGGCTGCCTTTTGACCACAAGTATCAAATCACCAGCAGAGAAGATGCCGCGGAAGCTTGTTACATGTCGTATGTGCAACAAAGAGGGACATAATTCGCGTACTTGTTCATTGTCAAAAAGTAGTGATTCATAGCTTATAGGGGTAAGATATTGATTTACTTGTTCTGTCTCTGTCTACCTTCTTCTTACTTTCACTAGTTGTATGACAAGTTCTTTTGTTTTCTAACTTACTTTACA